GGATACAAAAAGTATTTTACCAGCTTCAAGACTGACAAAACGCATGGGATGGCCATGACCCTAGTTCCTTAATCAGCTCCGTCCCTCTGCCCTCTCTCTCTTGGACTGATTCTGAGTGTATTGAAGCTCTTACTGAAGTATCTTCGAGCTTTGCTTTAGCAAAACGTTGTTGAGTGCCAGTGGATCGTTACTGCCAAGGTACCACGCGTTATCATGGAGAAACGGTTACGAAGCGGGACACACACCAGTGCTGCTGTAAAGTTGCACATGAATGCTATGGCACCACCACTGCTCAGTTGGGCACACCTTTCGATGACTGGGGTGCTTACTCTGTGAACATCCTGGCAGACCTATCACTCATTCTGTACTGACTGTACTCTACAGCGCCAACAATCCATAGTGCGCAGTCGCTGCAATGAAGGCATTCGTAGGGGCGTGCCATGCTAGCTGACAATAGGCTCTGCATTCTGGGGCTTGAGTCATGAATAGACCAACTGTCCGCATTTCGGCGGAGATGACCTCGATGTTATTTATACAGCGGAAACGGTGCAGTACAGCAAGATTTACAACAGTTACAACTGACCAGAGACGCCGAGACCTATGCATTGAGGACTGCAGAAACTTTAGCACTAATCATGGACAGATTCCCAGATTCTTCTTGGAATAGGTGGTAGTGGTTCCCGTGCAAGAAAACCTCGTCCAATGAGCCAATGAGCGGGACGAAGCCGTGGCCAGAATTCGACTCTGTGCGGAACAGCATGACATGCCCCTTGTACTGCGGCATCACATGCGCATAGAGTGTATAAATGTTGGTGAGGGTGCAGACCTCGATGTTGTGCTTCAAACGTGCACCTTGCTCTCCCATGTTGCTGAGCGGCAGCTTGATGATGCTCATCACAGTCAGTAGGACAACATGCGCAGCCTCTTCAATCTGTGTCTGCAGCAGCTTGGCCTCATGCATCGGGTGCACCGACGTGTGAAGTACGAAGAGGTTGATGGTCCAGCCCTCATCCTGCGTGAGGCGCGCCATCTCGACTGCGACATGTCCACTGTAGGAGTAGCCTAAGATGTTAAATGGTGCAGCGTCGGGCTCGGTAGTACCAATGCGGGCCAGCTCCTCGACAATATGCGCATAGTAGTACTTGGCATGGTTTTCGACGGTGTGGATGCCTGGATTGCACAAGGTGTTGGCGTGATCTGTGGACACCTGGTCTTGAGGGAAGTCATCGGGCGTGACATACCCAGGGTCATTGAGAGCTATGACATTGAACAAGTTGGTGGAGCGAGACAGCGCAGTGAATGTGTGGCCGAGACCAGTGGCCATGAGAATGCAGAACAAAAATGGCTTGCGAGGCTCCTCAAAAGAGACAAGCACAGAGGGTACGTGGAACTCCTCGTATACCAGGGCAAGTGTCAGAGGTGTCATCGATATTTGATCAACTGGCCTAGTGGCAATTGCCTGCCTGATCTTGCCTGCCATTGCCTTGCCTACAGGCGAGTGGAACACATCCATTAGAGCGAACGGGATGTTGAAAGCTTCTTGCATTCGGAAGACCAAACGGGAGGCAAGGAGTGAATGGCCGCCCACATCAAAGAAGTTCGTGAACTGACGAATAGATGTGCAACCAAGAAGGGCTTCCATGATCCTACAGAGCTGTTTCTTGACCTCATCTTCAGGCTCGCCTGATCCGTCTTCCTCTGCGTCATTGTTCAGCATGCTATCAATGTTGGTTGCAGCACGGGCTCGGAGCTGATGGTGGTCCACCTTGCCGTTAGGCATCAGAGGAAGAGTTGGGATCCAGCACACGAGATGGAGAATCATATACGGCGGAAGACTCTTGTGCAGCAACTTGAGGAGTCGTGGTAAGAGGGAATGAGATTGCAAGGCCGATGTTGGTGCAGCAGTGACAGTGTATGCAATGAGCAGATTGTCTTTGCCTTTGTGGGACTTGAGATGGACGATGACGGCATCGTTGGCCAAGTCGGTTTGGCCACTTCGATCTCCGAGAGCTCCAGCCACTGTCCGCAGATCTTGATCTGGCCAGCGTTCATCTTCCCAATGAAATGCAACTGTCCATCCGGGCCCCATCTCATAGCATTACCCTGCACAAAGAATGAGACACATAAGGAAAGGACAAGCAGAGGCGACATACCGTGCGGTAATACCAAGCCACACCTGGGTTGAGTTCATCAAACCCAAGCTTGACGAAGGCCTTGGCCGACTCCTTTCGGGCACCTCAGATACTCTGGACTGACACCAGCACTGCCAATCACCAGCTCACCAAATCACCAGCTCACTGACCACACTTGGGGGCAACAAGCCAAACCCTGTGTGTCGACATGAGA